TATTCCCTTTACCTAGTATATTTTTAAAAGAACTGCATGACTGGTTCCCTCACTTTCTTCAGCTCTTAAAAGACAGTTCTTTTTGAGGCTTTCCCGGGCTATGCTATCAAAATTGCAACATCTCTCTGACATTTCACATCTCCTGGCCTTGCTTTATGTTTTTTTTCTTCTTAATATTTATCACTATTCAACACACCATACATTTTTGTCCTTTATCCTTCTCTGGAATGTAAGTTGAGCAAGGGTGGAATTCTCATTTATTTTGTTCCATAATGTATCTCCAATGCTGGAAACAGATGTCAGGGATATTTGAAAAATGATTTTACATCCTTCTTTTAATTTAATCTTCCCAACAATACAGTAGGATTTTTAGTATTGTCCCTATTTTATAGATGGGAAAACTGAGGCACAGAGAGGGTAAGTCACTTGTTTAAGGGTCACACAGCTCGGAAATGGGACCTGGGGAAATATTCTACCCCCCACCTACCAACCTTATTTATTATCATTCTCTGTACCATGATTGCTCATCCTTTAAATGAGGCTCATAAGCATGCCTTCTTTGTAGGTTCATTGTGACAATTATGTGTGATAAAGCATGTGACAAGCTTACAGCCTGTGACTGGAGTGTTGTAAACACTTAAGAAGTGGTTGCTAGAAATATGAAAAGGTCTACATGGAATTCATGAAAAGCAGGGATGTTTCAGGCACAGAGCCCAGTCAAAGGGCCAGGAAGTTACTATTACTACATTTAATACAGTTCTGCATGGAAAGTCCTATGCATCCTTCAAGGCCCAACACAGAAGTGCCCTTCTCTGGGAAGCCTTTCCTGACTTCCCAGGGTACCTCATGTTCCTGTTAAGACTGGAATTTATTTAAAGGTTGTTTTTATTTATTTGCTTGTTTGTTTGTTTAATCTGAAGCCCCTACCAGGCTGAGAGCTTCCTGAGGGCCAGGTTTTTGGGTCCTGAAGCACAGACAGTTTGAGGGCCCTCTTTAAAAATACGAAATTGTAAACACAAAACCAGGTTTCAAAATGAGTATTTATTTAGGATAAGAAAAAAAAATCCCAACAACTTTTTTTTTCTGAATTTATATGAAGTTTTTAATTCAGGGAGACATCAGTTTGTTCCCTGGTGCTTTTAAGGAATCAACAAAAGTACTTTGACGGGTTTATATTTGACTTTGAAAGCAACACCACCTTTGTGTGCTGAGAGAAAGATAAAATTTCTTTAAATTTGTCTCATTGGCCCCATGCTTCATCTACCAGTGTATTTACTGCTATTTACAAGTAGAAATGTCTAGTTCTATGTATTAAATCTGAATAACTGATGCATATTATAATTTCCCCCCTTGTTTTGCATATTATAATTTTTATGGCAGGTGGTAAACTTTCCTTTAGATCTTGTGAGATTTCATCTTGTTAGGGGGCGAACACTATTTTACAAAGTGTAACAATACTTACTTTTTTTTTTTTAGTTGAGAAAATGAACTTGAGCACCTACATAGCAAAGCTGTGTGGGCAACGACATGTAACCTGTGCTCTGATTACGTGCTCTGCCTTTCCATTAGGCCAGGATAGCTTTCCACCTGCTACAGGGGAAAACAGAAACTGCTGTAAAGCCTGAGAACAAAATGTTCCAAACCCAAATCCCAGAGCATTCTATCAGGGCTTAGCATCTTCAAAGAATTTAAAGAAAACTGCTAATTGCCTAATTACTCCTTCAAAACACCTGCAAAGAAAAGCTCTGCTTTCTCATAAGACTTACTCCATTCCATTCCAGTCACACCTTTTGCTACCTAGGAGGAAGCGCTTTAGACCAGACTGCACTTTCATTAATACTAGTTTTCTCTCAAAGCAAGTTCTTCATGCTGACATTTCCAGTGTCAGGAAGCACAAGTGCTATTAATCATCTCCAATCTTTGCATTACCAAGGAGATCTTTCTCCATCTTGTTCTGAAGGGATGAACAAAAGTTTGAAGTGTATGTTTCAGAAGACAAACCGCAGCAAGAAGACCCGCTATGTTTACCCAGAGTAGGCACCTTCCACCATGCACATCCTGTCCTGGATAATGCCTCAGTAAAGCATCTCTTGTCCTGAGCAAGTAGTGCAGCTCGGCCTGTCCTTGGTCTACAGACACGGCTCATCTCCCATAGGCAAGCTGGAAAAAGATTCCAATTTCTCCAGCCCATCCTTTTTCCAAATGGCATGTCTGTTACAATATCCACAGAGCCAGTTCTTCATGGCAGATTGCAGATATCCCATCACACAGTATCTATGGGCAAGCCCCAGAGTTACCAATTCATACTTGGGTCCCCTCCCTGGGTGCAGGAAAGCAATCTACTGACACGGGGTCATGGTGAAGGAAAGTGCAGTGTCTATGGCAGGGTACCAAGCAAAGAGTGCACGTAGCTGGTGCTCAAAAGGCCCGAACTCCCCGATGGCTTTCAGGGAAGGGTTTTTAAAGACAGGGTGAGGGGTGTGTGATCAGCTCATGGACATTCTTCTGATTGGCTGGGGTGAGGTCACCTGGAGTCAACATCATCAGCCTTCTGGTTCCAACCAGTCTGGGATTTACGTGCTTGCAGGCAGCATACAGTTAATTTCTTCCAGTTGGTAGAGGTTTGGGTAACTGCAAAACAGTTCAAAGGATATGGCTCAGAATATTATCTGTAGTCCTTGAGGAGAAACTAAAGGTCCTTGACTTTGTTTAATGACTAAACTGTTATTATTTTGTCTTGCTTGACTGTTTTCCTTTTTTAGTGCATTTTCTTACCCCTCTGATTAAATTTATTCTTTGGAACTTGGGGAAGGCCCGGGAGGCTAAAGGTTTCTATAGACAAGAGGCAGAGGGAGGACAGGGGAGAGGGGCTGTCCCAGGAATGCCTCATAGGGTCCTGCTCCGTTACACCAGGACAGTTTGCCTTTTTGAACCTGGCTCTTGGTCAATACAGATGAGATGTATATGCTACTCTATTCACAGCCAATGGAATCCCGGCAACTTTTAGAGTTTAAAAAACTGACAAATACCATAAACAATATAAATTCAAAATAATAGCATATTTTAAGTTAATCAACTGCCTAACACTCTTCTATAACACTTTTTCCTTACTTTTTTTGGCTGCACACCCTTTTATCACAAATGTGACAACAATGTGTGATATTTTCTCTAACAGGTCTAAAAAGATGATTCAGGCTTTCCTTTAGCATGATTAAACAGAATTAGTTTTTTGTTAGTGATCATTTAGATTTTTTTCTCTTCAGCTTTGCATTTATTAGTAAGATTGTTCTCTTAAGGACTGTTGTCAAACTTAAGATAAACTCTATCAAATTTCTTACCTATGTGAGTTTTAATATGTCAAAGGATTTTCCACGGAATAGCTTCTGGCTTCATATATTTCAAACCTTATTTCTCCTCCAATAACCTCCCTCCACCGAGGCCATGCATAATAATGATCTCTGGCTCTACATCTTCACATCACAACATCGGAATAGACGGCACAGCGGGCATTAGGAGCATTTTTGGAAGGCATTCTGGGGCAATTAGAAATCATAAAGCTGTGCCTGGAAGGAGCTAAGACCCCATAATTATACACATCCCCAAACCCAAAGCCACCTCTCCTCAGCCGGATTTCAAAAATGGCTGTGGCCATCTGACATGAAGAGAGATGTGATGGAGGAGACTGCGGTGGAAAGAGACAGTAATCTGAAATGATTGTGGTTAAAATCGCTTACTTTTTGCAAATTTTATAAAAATCTATAATCCCATGCAAATAATATGTCCTGAAGTGTAAGCTTCATGAGTTTCATGGTAAATCCACTCCTGCCGAAGGTAGACTTAAGTCTTCTTGGAGTCCCCCAAGGGCTAGCCTTGGATATCATATGCGGTAGGGTATCAAGTTTACATCAAATGTCAGCTCTAGAAGGGAGAGCATTAGAGAGCAGTGGGACCAGTGGTTTTAACCATAGAGTCCTTGGACTCTGAGAGGGTGTCTCAAATGTTGGTACTGGAGACTTGAAACATGGAAGACCTCTATTTAAATAATGATGACATTAAGAGTCATCATTTGGCCTGACAGGTACTGGGCACTTTAATACGTGGTAGACACTATTCTAAGTACCCTGCTTGTTTCAAGTTTCTTACTCCTTATAACATACCTATGAAGTTGGAACTATCATTATCCCATTTTACAGATGGAGAAACTGAGATTTGAAAAGTTCCAGTTTTATCTATTAAGATTCTACATAAGAAGCCTTTTGAAAAAAAATTCTTGTAGTAATAGCAAGTTTTGAAAAAGGCCAAAACGGTCCAAGCCCTTTCTTTTACACATAAAGACGTAAAATGCAGAAAAAGGGAGATCATTTGCTCAACGCCACACATATATTCTTATTTCCTGGATGCCTGCTCTGTGCCAGGCACTGTGCTATGGCCGAGGGCTTCAGAGATCAACAAGACACTCATGGAACACAGTTTTTATGGGTGCCAATGGACAGTACATACAATTAGATAGATATAAATAAGCAAAATAATTCCAGTGAGTGCTAAGATAAATTTGGGGAGATGTGATTGAGTGACAAGGAGGGTAAGCACTGATTCAGACTGAGAAGTAGTCAGGGAAATGTGGTCTGAGGAGGTGACATGCGAGCTTGAAATCTGAACGACCTAAAGAAGGAAGCCCCGGACTGCTATGGGAGAAGAGCACTGCAGGCAGAGGAACTGTGAGTGCAAAGGCCCTGAGGCAGGAATACTTTGTTATAGAGCTGACTCCTGGTCCAGGGCTCCTTCACCACTTGCTGCCTCCCTAGGCCCTCAGAGAGAACTCTTTGGTGTCCTGGGCCTCCCTTAAGCTCAACCATAAGGTACCAGCTTATCTAGCAAGGCAGCAGCTCTCTGAGGCTATGGATCTCCGTCCCAGAAGCCCTCTGGCTAAACCAGATCTGAGTTTCCTGGTTCCTGTCTGGCAGGGGATGAGCAGACATCCTCCCCGCCTTCTCTCCCCAGGCTCCAGCCCCAGCCCCAAGTCTCCATGGCAACCCTAGACACAATCCTGATCTGAAGGAGGATCTGGAACGGGGAGCACAAACATCACTGTGAAGAGATCAGAGGCAGGGGTGCACTTGCCTCCCCTGCTCCTTGTGTCCTGCTAGCCTCTCCCCTGGCCTAGCCAGGCCCCTACACCCCAGTCTCCCCAAGACCCCACACTGAGGATTCCGCAGGTCTGCCTTATTGCTGGGCGCAGGAGGGCCTGGATGGAAGCCTGTCCTCTACTGTTGCCCCAAAGGCTGCTCCTGCTCGGGGCAGCCGGCCTGATGGCCTCTGCTCTGCACACAGGTGAGTATGAGGGGGCTTGGCTGGGGCAGGTGGGAGATTCAGGCCCCACCACCCTTAGAGATTTTGTTTCCCCAGTCAGCACTCACCCAAATGGGCTGGAATCCCTTGAGTTGGGGGAGGCTGGGAGACCTGGTACCTGGTCTTACCTGATAGCCCCAAGTCCACCCCAACCCCTCTGGGTGGCTCAAACTCCAAGTCACCTGGAAGCAGGGGTCTGGGGGCAGGTGGGGCAGCCCTTGGGTCTGGCAATGGAAAACACTGTGGGCTTTAGGGTCAGGAGGCCCTGAGTTCACACGCTCACTCTGCCTCTTCCTACATTTCTACCCTTGACATCACTATTTCACCCTCTAAGTCTAGGTTTCTTCAGCAATAAAATGGGAAGAATAATAGGTCCCTGCCCCTTAAGGGACTATTATTATTGTGTATATAAGATGAGACGAACCATGCAAGACAGACAGTGCCTAGCATGTAGAAAGTGCTCAGTTCACCCATTCTCTAAACCTCCCCCTGCCCTGTGTGCCTCCAGGGCAGGTTCTGGGTTTAGTATGTCTATGCAGATATGAGAAGATGCTCTAAAATCCTAAGCCTTAATGGAGAATGTCTCCCCCAAAGACCCACATCCCGGCTTGTCCTCAAGCACCACTGGTGCCCCTACCATGCACCAGGAAAGCCACCTCCTGTTCCCTCTCTATCCTTATAAAAATCAGAGATGGTTTGAGTACTTATATGTTATTGCATTAATCCTCCCAACTCTGTATGAGTGAGGGTGTTTTGGGCTGTAAGTAACAGATACCAAACTAAATGGAGCTTAAACTATAAGGAATAAAGACATTTAGTATTTCACTTAAGAAGAGTGGGGCTGTAAGTGATTCCAGAAATGGTTAATTCAGCAGCTCAACTGTGTCAGGACTTCTCTGTAATTCTCATGACCTCATCCTTGCAAAATGGCTGCTGCAGCTCTGGGCACTGCATTCTCTTTCAAGCAGGAAGAAAAAGGGGCTCCTCATCACACAGTTCCCCCCAGCCCCTCCCCCACTTTTGTTAAAGCAGGGAGGTAAATGTTTCCCAGGAACCTTCAGCAAACCTCTCTTTAAATCTCATCGGCCAGAATCAGATCACATGCCAATCCCTAAATCTGGCAAATAGAATTAAGATTACAAGGTTTGGTTTAGGACAGTGAGGGGGCAGGGGGTGGGGAGAGGGTGCTAGCATGTTGCTTCCTGATAGCGGAGGGAAATTAAGGATCTTTCAGCAAGGAGAAACACGGGATGGGTGTTGGCTGGGACAGGTGCTCAACCGTGTCTACCCCATCCTTGAATAAGTTAAAAACTAACACTTCTGTAACACTCACTAAATGCCAGGCATTGTCCTAAGCACTGAACCCACACATGCCCACGATCCTTAAGGTTTCCACTCCGAAATAAGAAACTTTCTGAAAACCAAAGTGTGTTCTTAAACTAACTTACTGGCAACACCTGACTGGAACTGACAGGAGGCTGCTTATTGTCTTTATTCGTCCTACTTAGGGAAAATGTTCTCTACAATTGCTCTAGAAAAATGTGTTTGAGCATGGAGGGCCGTGGCAGACTCCACTTGGGGCTGCATCATACCATCTTTCTAATATCTGGAAAATTCTGGAACATATCCTAGGGGTTTTAAAGAAGAGATTGAGGACTTGAATTAATTTTTTTTAAATCCTCACCAAAAGTCTGAGATTGCTTAATTATTCTCATTTCCCCGAGAAGAAAACTGGGGCTCAGAGAGGGTGAGTGACCCCCTTGGGGTCACACAGCGTGGGAGTGGGTGGGGAGGGAGCGGGCAGAGTCAGGCTTGGAACCTCGGGACCAGCGTGCGTGCTTTTCGCTGCAGCCGACCTGGTGGACCTGTGCGGCCAGACGTGGCGGGGGGACGGGCTGCTGCTGCGCTCGCACCGCGCGTCGCGCCGCTTCTACTTCGTGGCCCCGGAAACTGACTGCGGGCTCTGGCTGCGGGCGGCGGCCCCCGGCGACAGGATCCGCTTCCAGTTCCGCTTCTTCCTGGTCTACAGCCTGACCCCGGCGGCGCCCAACGCCTCCTCCGCGGGGCAGGCCGATCCTTGCGCCTTCGGGTCCTACCTGCAGTTCTACGAGGGCCCGCCGGGGGCGCCCCGGCCCCTCGGGGCCCCGCTCTGCGGCCTGACCATCCCGGCTCCGGTGGCATCCTCTGGGGACTTTCTGGGTCTGCGTCTGGTCACCCGAGGCCGCCAGCCCCGCGTGGACTTCGTGGGCGAAGTCACCTCTTTCCGGTTAGGTGGGTTGGGGCTGGGGCCCTGGGGATACCAAGAATGGACGGGCTGGTTCCTCGGAGAGGGGAAGAGGTGACACTTGGTGTCAGGGTTCTGGGGTTACAGTAAGGGACATTCCAGATCCCAAGAACCAACCCCATAAATCTGATTTCCATGGATGTACATACCAGCCCCCTCGCCTGTTCACACACAGCTCCCACGCAATTCCCACACACTTACACACCTCACACCCTGACACCCACCCACACACACTGTGCATGTCCACAACTCACACTTCATGCACAGAACTCCTTGCACACCCACATGCCTCACAGGCACTGCAGCACACAACCCACATACCTCACAAACTGCACACTGACACACACGGTTCACATCACATACACACCTCAGACACACACAGTACTGTCTTGCACGCTGATACAACTCACTCACTCATTTATGTGCTGGCTCCTCTTTCCCGGGTCAGCCTTTTAGATGATTGTAGAGGGACCAAGTTAGGATTCTTGTGATTGTAAGTGACAGAAACCCACTTGAGCAAGAATTTAACAAGACATTAACAATAATCCCTTATTAAGCATTGCCTTTGGCCCTTCCCACGCCACATCTCATCTGTTCCTCACAGCAGCTCCGTCTGGCTAGTGCTCTTACTCTCATATTTATAGATGAGAAACAGGCTCCGGGAGGTTAAGCAAAGTGCCGCAGGCACTCACAAGTGGAGCAGCTGGGATTTAGCTGCTGAAGTTTGTCCTCCGCTGACACTGAGTCAAGCCTTTAGTCCCTGCAGGTTCCCCCAGGGCTGGAGACACTCACTGTTGTTACAGCAGATGAGCTGCCAAAGCCCAGTTTCCAAAACCACAGAGAAGCTTTATTGCCTTCTTTGGCAAAATATCCAGACTGAAGAATTAAACATGGACTTGTGAGCACTTTGAGACAAGAACATGGGGGGCTCTGAGCGCCAGCACGGGTTCACCAGGAGCTGGACCCGGACATGCCCAGCCCTGGACAGCACTTCAACTTGAGCTGGTCAGAGAGTGCCCTGTTCTGTCTCATGTCTCAGTCAAGTCCCACCTTTCTTCTTTCCTGGAATTGGGCATGGTCTGAATTTTGAATTTTAGGTTCTCTCGCTCTTCCCATTAGTGTCTCTGGCACTGGAGGAAACATAAAATTTGTACCCTAAATCCTTGGAGGTGAGGGGAGGCCTTCCGATGAGATGATATTTGAGCGGAGACCTAAAGGGAGCTAGCCATGCAGTTACTTGGGGAAGAGAACACCAGGCTGAGCTGATGGCAAGTGTAGAGCCACGAGTGAGGATTTGCTTGGCGTGTTCAGGTTCCCTGAGCTCACACATACTTACACACACTGGGTACCACAGTGTTGTGATCATGGGAGTGAACTCCTACTGTGTTGCTTGGATACAAATTATGTGGCCTTGAGCTAGTGACCTAACCTCCCTGTGCCTCAGTCTTCTCATCTCTCAAATGGGGGTGGTAACAATATTGACCCCACAGGGTTATTGTGAGAACTTCATGAGCTGGGATGCAAACCCTGCCTGGCCTGGAACAGGAACTCAGTAAATGTTAGGAACCATTATCACCATCACCATCATCATCTTCATGATGATACATCTGTCTCCCATGAAATGCTCATCCATACTCGCATCTGTATGCACACAGAAACAGCCTCTCCTGCTCACGCCTCCCACATTCTCTCACTGTAGATCCACACATCCCCTGCTGCCTGTGCTCCTCATCTCATGATTCCCCTCTCAGCCCCAGGATCCTGTGGTGCCTACTTCCCGTGTCGGAATGGCAGGTGCATCCCCCAGAGCCTGGTGTGTGATCGCTGGGGCATGGACAACTGTGGTGACGGCAGTGATCAGGCTTCCAGGCCACCAGCTGACTGCACAGGTCAGTGATGGGTGTGGCCTGGGCCCAGCTGAGCAGCTAGAATGGAGGCTGGGCCTGACTCCCCTTCCCTTGGGCAGGGCCTCAGAGGGGAGGCTGGGGGCAGGGGTTCAGCAGGAGGGAGCAAGTTGAAGCACAGAAGTGGGTAATCTGTTTAGACCAGACTGCCTGAAGATCAGAGGATGTTAGGATGAGAATGATGCTAGAGATGATCTAATCCAGCTGATTCCACATGTGTTAGTGGTAGAAGCTTTCCCTAAATGGAGCCTTGCACAGAGGACCCAGGCATCACAAAGAGAGAAGCTCTGTTTAACTGGACATGGTGGGGCCCAGGCCCTGGCTGACTGATGTCTCAAAGGAGAGACTTGAGTTTGATCCTCAAGAATTACTTTGAAAACCATTGACCCAACGGCACTCCCACATTTTACTGATGGGGAAACCCAGGCCTAAGGAGGAGAAATAACTTGCCCAAGGTTATAGAATCAGCGAGTAACATAACCAGAAATGATCTCTAGATGGACAGATGATACAGACTAAGTTACCCAGGGTTATCCTTCCCAGGAATCTGGAAATGTCCCACCCCTAGCCAGGGCTGCCATGTCCTGTCGAACAGGTTGTTCACTGCAAAAAAGCACCTGGCTGGGGGTGAAATCCAGCTTCCCAGGGTCCCACACACTGTGCTCCCCAGCCACTCCTCAGTCTCCTAGGTGGGTTCCTCCTTAGCTACCTTACACTATGCTTTGTGCCATGAGGCCCAATTCCTGTATCCTCTCCTCCATCTGTCACACCTGTTCTCCATGGTCTCCTTTATATTGTATCCCCAGCTGGACTTGTCTTTGAACTCTAGTTACATAACCACCTCCCTCCTGGGCATCGCCACATGGATGTGTAGGCAGTTCTCAGAGTTAACTTGCCTAAAACTGAACTCGTGATCCACAGTCCCCCCTGCATCCTCCTTTCTTCCCCTCAGCCCATAACCCACCCATCCATGTTGTCAGATTTAGGCTGATATTTTCCTCATGATGAGACTGGAGTGATGGGTTATCAGGAGGAAGACCATAGAGGTAAAGTGCCATTCACATCACATTGTGCCCGACCAGCACAGTTAATCACTGACGTGATGTAATGAGGTTGATGTTGGCCTGGATCACTGGGCTGAGGTTGTGTTTGTAGGTTTCTCCGCTGTTACACTTTCTGCATGCTCTCTCTACACTGTCCTCTTTGGAAGGAAGTCACCACGTGCAGCCCACACATAAGGGAGTTAAGCTCCCCAGCCAGAGGAGCCTTTAAAAACACCAAGTTGGATTGCATCACTCCTGCACAGAACCCTCTACACTCCTCACTCAGCCCATGCAAGCCTCCCAGGGGTGCCACCCCAGCCCTGAGTCACCTGGCCGGTCACCTCCCACCTACTCTCCAGCTCCCTTGGCTCCTCCACTCTGGCCTCTGCAGCTCCTTCCACGATCCAGTCTGGTCCTGCCTCTGGTCTCTGCATTCATGCTTTCCTCTGCCTGGAGAGCTTTCCTCTGAGATTTACATGCTCATTCCTTTGCCTTCTGCAGGTCTCTGCTTAACCTTCACACTCTCAGTGAGCTTTTTCCTGACCCCTTTACTTAACAGTAGCAACCCTGTGTCCATTGAAAGAAAAACATGGTAAACAGAATGTGGTATGTCCACAAAATGAAGTATCATTCAGCCCTAAAAAGGAAGGAAGTTCGGATACAGGCTACAACATGGATGAACCTTGAGGACATTATGCCAAGTGAAATAAGCCAGCCACAAAAGGATAAGTTCCACTTATATGAGATCCCTAGAGCAGTGAAAATCATAGAGGCGGAAGGCAGAAGGAGGGTTGTCAGGGGCTGGGGGGGGAGGGGGAATGGGGAGTTATTGTTAAATGCATATAGAGTTTCAGCTTTACCAGATGAAAGCAGTTTTGGAGATGAATGCTGTTAATGGCTGCACAACAATATGAAGGTAGTTAATGCTGCTGAGCTGTGCACTTACAAATGGTAAAAATGATAAATTTGATTTTGTATAGTTTATCACAATTAGAAAAAATAGCAACCCTGCCACTCACCAGCATGTCCTGACCTTTTCCCTGCTTCGTTTATCTCCATCTGACGTACTATGTGTGTTTTGTGTCTCCTCACATGAAAATGCCAGCTCAATGAAGACACTTTCGTCTGTTTTGCTCACTGTCCCTAGAGCATTGCCTCGGGGATAGTAAATGATGGAAAAATACTAGTCGAATTAGTAGAAGAATCAACCTCTCTATGTTTCTGTTTCCTTATCTGTAAACTGGATATGATAAGCCTAACCTTCAGATTTGTCATGAACTTTGAGTGAAACATTGTGGGTAAAGGGCCCCAGCCCAGAGTGTGGTGCTTTGGGCACAGGAAATGTTCAATATATGTATATACTCCTTGGGAAGTAGCTCTGTTCAGAAACCTCAGCCCCTGGAGCTAGACTGTGAGTTTAAGTCCACCCCTATCACTTTCAGCTGTGTGACCTTGGCAAGTGACTGAACCTCTCTGTGCCTCACTTCTCTTATCTGTATGATGAAATTACTAACACTCTCTAGGTGGTTTGGGGAGGACTAAATGAGACATAATCAGGCCCCGAAGGGGCAGTTCTGTGTGTTGGCTCTATTATTTCCCACTGCAGGTCCCTCTCCAGTGCCCAGCCAGGCAGGGAGGATGGCCGATGGTACCTCCCAGCCCCTGACTCTTTCCCCAGCTCTTGGGTCTGCAGGCCCCCTGGGGATTGCAGCTGGGAGGAGTCCTCCAGCAGGCGGGGACCCTGCAGGACAGGATGCAGCTCCAGAAGGTAGATGGTTACCACCTGCACCCGCTCCTCTCACCAAGATCACACTTGTCCCTCTCCAGTGACGGATGGGGGCAGCAGGCCCAGGCTGAGGCCTGAGTGGACTCTCTTTCTTTCCGCAGGCCCCCGGCTGCGGGGTGTGGCGCTGGCCTCCTCACTGCTCCTAGCCTCTGCTGGCCTCCTCATCGGCCTCCTCTGGTGCTGTTGCTCCTCCAGCTGGCTGGCCCGGCGGGCAGGTGCCCATGGCCTCTGCCCCAGCTGCACCATCTGTTACCCATGTCCTGGCCAGGTGGCCCCTGGGGGGCTGCGGCTGAGTAAGCCAGCTTTCCAGGGTCAGGGAGGACATCCCTAGAGAGGCTGCGGGCATCAGAGGAAGGAGAGTGGGCTCTGGGGTTGGACAGTCCCTGGGTTCTGCCCCACCCACCACAGGGCTGTATAACCTTGGGCAGATCACATCACTCTCTGAGACTCAGTCTGCTCTTCTGGAAAATGGGATGATTCCTGCCTTATAGGGTCATGAAGACCAAAGGAGACAGCTGGGCCTGCAACTTGCACGGTGGCTAGCACACGGCTGGCTCAGTGAAGGGCAGGGAGTAGGGCCTTTGCTCACCTCAAGCTGCCTTGCTTCAGTCCCAGACCTCCCTGCTTTGCCCCACGCTGGCCCCCTCTCAGGTACCACAAGTCCAGCCCTAGTAAGAGACACAGGAGACAGCCCTGGCGGGGATAGCACCGTTTATTAAGAAAGATCAAGACAAAGACCACAGGAGGGTCCCTTCTAGGACACAGAGGCCAGGCATCCTGACCCCACATCTGGGGGCTGCTGGTGGGGAGGGCGCTTGCCCCAGCTGGGCCCTCAGGCTCCCACAGATGGGGCAGGGCTGTTATGCCCCCTTCCTGTCCCTCCCAGTCATGAGTCCTGGCTTCCCCCACCCAAGGCACTAACTTTTTTCCAACCACCAACGCCCTCCTCCCCCATGTCCCCTGGGCCTTCACTTCCAGATCAGTGGGGGGACGTGGCCTGGTGTGGGCAGGGAGACCCTCTCAGTGCTGGGCTCTGCCTGTAGCAGCTCCGGGTAAGAGCTGGGATGGCGTTTCCCTTGCAGCCCCTGAGGGCAGGGGCCCTGGGTGAGGTGTGGGGTGAGGGGTATGCAGGCCAGGAGGGCTTGGTGGGAGGGGGCGGCTGCCAGGGCCCGGTGGCCCAGTTGGCTAGGTGGAGGTGGCGGGGCTGGGACATGGGCTGGCGGGGGTGGGGGTTGCCTGCCCAGGGGTGAGCTGCCTTTTGCTCCACAGTTGGCACTAAAGAGGTTTCCCAACTCAGAGGAGGGTGGCGAAGGCCACTGCGATGCCCCCTGCTCCAGGTAGCTGGTGAGGTTCCAGGTAGCGGTGAGGCACCAGGCTGTAAGCTGAGGTTGGTTTGTGTAGGAATGAGGGCTGCCCAAGGGCTGAAGAAATGGGCAGCCCGCACTACCGTGGGGGGCTCTACTGGTGGGGGCAGTTTTGAGCCCACTCAGCCATTGCACCTGACCCCAAGTCCTGGTGGCCCTCTGAGGCACCTGCTCCCATCCAACCTGCCCTGCCCAGCGCCTGTGGCTTTGCCCAGGTGTGTCTGTGTGTGGGGGGTGGCGTGCCCACCCTCCAGTCCAGCCCAGGGCAGTAGCAGCAAAGCGTGGCATCGCCTCAGTTTCTTACAAAATATTCATAATAATAATATTAATAATAATATACTTGATGTCGTGGGGCTGTGGCGTTGCCCGGGAGTCCGCGTGGGGCAGGTAGCGCCTATGAGGGGCAGGGGCGCGTGTTGGCCCCCGCCTGGGCGCGGTGTTGCAGGTCCAGTGGCTGTGGGGGTGGGGCGCCAGGCCGGGCAGAGTGCAGCACCAGATTCTTGATACAGCCTGTGATGCCCGAGGAGAACCTGCCCCCGGTCAGCGCGGCTACATCGGGGGCTCCGCCTGCAGGGGAGGGAGAGGATGGGGCCTGTCAGCTCCAGGAGCCCAGGAGGCGAGGATGGCTGTGGGCTTTATCTCTTTGGGAGCCCCATTCCCTCCCTCGCCCGGAGGGTGGGCCCCAGGCCTGCACAGAGGCCCAAGCTCAAGACTTACCGATGTAGATGCTGCCCTTGGTGTTGACCGCCACGTTAGGGCCTGGGGACTGGCCGCTGACCAACTCCTCACCATCCAACTGGATGGAGCCTCTCCGGCCCTCTCTACGGTGGAACTGGGTCAGGCCCCTCCACCAGTTCCCCATCCTTCCCAACCCAGTGAGAGTCCCCTCCCTTTGCTACAAAGACTGCAGACAGAGAAGTCTGCCCCCTGCTCCCTGAGTTCTTTCCTTCCCCTGCTGGATGAGAGATCTGGCCCCACTCCCATGTAGTTCTGTCCTGTCCTGGAAGTCTGTGCTCTGGCTGGTGGGCTGTCTCCTGACCCTGGCTTCAAGTTCTGTCTCCCCAGAGGTCAGTGCCTGTTCCGCTGTGCATAGTAGGGGGGTGTCCTGTCCCACTCCAGAACTTTGGGCTCCTCGCCCTAGTACCTGGGTGGGCTCCTTTACCTCAATGCCGTCACCCGATGCCACTCGCCATCATTGATGGGATCCTCAGAGACAAGGCGGGCCTCCCCACTGCCCAGCTGGTAGCTGCAGTCACATAGGCCCAAGCAGGTGTGAGCATGCGGCAGGACAGGAGCGGGTGTGGGATGGTGGTGGTGGTGTGTAGCTGGGCACTAGGAGCTGCAGCTTCTTATAGGAGGAGCCATGGGGTTGACCAGAGGGGAAACCACCAGAGGGTAAGGTGGGCAAGGGAAGGGAGAGGAAGGGTCAGGTGCCAGGACCCACCTGAAGACAAGATGCCCATCCTGAAGCCCCAGACCGATGAAATCTTTGCCTCGTCCAGACTCACCCACCTCCTGTCAGGGAAGCACAGGGTCTCTGGGGCCCCCAGCCTGGAGAGGTGAGGCCCCCGAGAGCTGTAGCCTCCTCCCTCCTCCCTCCTCTCTCCCACTTCCCTGGCCATCAGGAGCCTGGAAGCCCTAAGATCCAGGGCCAGACGCCCACACTCACCACGCCCTGCCAGAGCAGGAGGCCACTGGCCGTGCTGGTCCGAACCTCCAGCTCGATGGTCTCGGGCACCTCGGGCAGGCTGTTGGCAGGGTGGGGCGGGGGGGTGGGAAGCAGGTGAGCGGGCAGAAGTCCCAGATTTCCCTTCCCCACTCTGGGCCCACACACTGTCCCAACACCTGTCTCACCTCCTGGAGAAGATGCGGCCAGGGAGAATAAGGAAGCCGTTATCATAGAAATAGGCTCCATACTGCCCGGGGGCATCTGCAGGGGGTTTGGGGGGGTGATAATGAGACACCTGCTCAGCCACATGGAGCATCCATCCCACGTCGGTGCCCCTGACCCCCACCTCCACTCCCACCTGTACCATGCGGGGCTCTGAACCTGCCATCCCTGGAGACCCAAGGGGACTGTGGACAGAATTTAGGGGCCTGTGAACTTGGATGGGAAAACATTACAGTTCTACTCTCACTCACTTCTCCCTGAAGGTTAGCAGTTCCTATCCAGGTAGCCAACAAACTAAAGGAGTAGCAGGGCCTGTGACTCAGTCACCAACTGGGTCACAAGGGCTTATCCTTGTCACATTATGGTAATTACAAATATTTCAAAACACTGTTTATGCTTATTACAGTTGTGGGAGCTATTGGGGCCACCACTGTATCTTGTTATTTAACGTGTGGCTAAAGAAGCAAAAAATTGAAAATATTTTGATAACCTTGTTTCCGTATAATTGGTTTCCTTTGAAATCCTATGTATTTTATCCTATGCAGTCAACAGGGTCCAGGTAAGGTGATCAACAATCCCTATTTGCCAGGTTTGTCCTGGTGTTAGCTCTGAAAGTCCCACATTTTGAGAAGCCCTTTAGTCCTGAGCGAAGCAGGGCAGCTGGTCACTTAGGTCAGTGGCAAATAAACGGTTCTGAACCCTTGTGTTTCCTCCATCTTACAGATGAGAAGAAAGGCTCAGGGGTGAGTGACTTGCCCAGGAAGTGGGAAGCCAGGATGGCACCAGGACCTTTTGGTTCCAACATCCATACTGTGTGTGATGCCCACATTCCCAGCCCTACCTGCTCAAATATATCCCACACTAGCGCTGGCCCCTGGGGCCTGGCAGCTACCATGGTAGGGGACACTTTGCCACCCTCCACCAAGTGATGACGATAACAGCTAACAGTTATATGCACCTATTATGTGCCAGTCACTGGGCAGGGAGCTTCACGTCCAGCTACAAACACGATTTTTAATTGGATCCTTGTAACAACCCTATGACTTAGTTATAATGTTAACAAAAGCTAGACCAGACGTTGCTCTAAGCATTAAATACGTTAAATAACTTGACTCTTGTGCATAATTTTATTGAAAGCCTTGTGGAAGGATGTTATGTCTTTCTATTTCATAGATGAGGAAACTGAGGCACAGAGAGGTTAAATGACTCACCCAAAGTCATGCACCTAGTAAATGGTGGGGCTAAGATTTGAATCCAGGCTCTTAACCACTACCACTACCTCGTCTATCACATTAGTGATAAATAAGACATGTATCTATAAAGCAGTTAGCACTGGGTCACAGGGGCTGTAAATATTCAACATTTTTATCATCATCATTGCTTTTAAACAGATTACGGAATCCTTGAGAATGAGGGTCCTGCCTTATTCATCTTATATTTATTGCTCCCAGGGCAAGGATAGGCACACATACACGTTTGTTGGTGGAATGCATGAATACAGAGGAGGAAACTGACATCAGAGGGGTTCGAGGTCTGCCCAAGGTCGCCTAGCCAGTAAACACAGGGCAGGACCCAGCTTTGTGGCTGTGCTCTTGTTTATTCAGTCTGTGCCTAGTGAGCTCCTGTTTCGTTTAGAGGCCAGGATGGAGGGTGTTGGATCATTGGAAGAGGGGCTGAGAGACCCAAAGTCTGGGAGGGACAAGCCCCTCAGCTTCTCTGGCTGGTGATAGCAAGGACATACCATTGCCCCCGCTGCCTTCAAGATGCCAGTCGGACTCCGCCATGCCATGTCCAGAGCCTGTGGGGAAAGGCGGGGTCCAGTTGGTGGGCTGTGCCAGCCCCAGGGCCCCAAGGGGGAGGTGGAGAGATGACAGGGCGGCTACCTTGTTGGCAGCGTGGGCCAGAGAAGCCTGGGGGACAGAGGCAGCGGGTGCCCTGGCAGGTGCCCCCATGCAGACAGGGCTCACGGAGCTGGCAGGGGCTCTCCTCGTGCTCACAGAGGTCTCCTGGGAGTCAGGGAAGAGGCGAGTGGGCATGGGCTGGAGCAGCCGCTGACCAGCCTGTGCCCCTCCCTCCCAGGGCCCAGGGCAGGCTCGCTCGCCTTTGAAGCCATCTCGACACAGGCACTGGAACTCGTACTCGCCCGCGGGCATGCACGTGGCGCCATTCTGGCAAGGCTGGCGCTCACACGGGGAGCTGTCGTAGCACTGCCCGATGCCCTGGCTGCCCAGGAAGCTGTAGGTGAGGTCCAGCCGCTTCCCGTTCACTGACACCTGTGGGCACAGGGGCACTGAGGGCTTAAAGAGTGCAGGACGCAGAGGCACCGCTGTGCCAGCAGAAAGAATGCGGCAGAGGACAGCCAGGAACCCAAGTGGGGCTGTAGGGTGGGGGAGGAGGAACAAAGCTGAGTGCCTACTGTGTGCCAGGAACATCCACCAGGGCAGGCCATCCTCAGTACAAGCCTTCAAAACGGGTGTCAATACCTCCGTTTTAGAGAGGAGGAAACAGGCTCATAGGTGAAGCGTCTGGTCCCAAGCACCTGGGGTTGGCTGCAGGTGGAAGGAAATCACCCCACCCTCCCACTTGCCATCTGGAGCTGCTCCTCACCTCGCCCACACAGCCGCGGAAGTGGGCGCTCACGTTGGTGGCCGGGGGCAGCTGCACGGATGGCTCCACGCCGCCGAGGTAGAGGAGGGTGTTCAGGTTGAGGCCCTGGCTCTTGCCGGGCGAGGAGCGCAGCACAGGGCGCCCGCTGTTCACACGCAGGCTGCCGTCCTTGTTGAGACGCTCTGCAGACACCCGGTGCCAGCGGCCCAGGGCCAGCGGCTCGGAGCTCCGCAGGATGGCCAGCCCTGGGGAGGATACCAGGTGGGGTT